ATTTTATTTTTCTTTTATTTATAGTTTAGGGTTTCATTTGTGTAATCAGACTTGGCATTTGGAATTTATCGATCAGTTTTCCTTCCGTTCTCCCTGCTCCTTTACTCTCCTCTCTTCTTCTTCCTCTTCTTCTCTAACTTCTCATCCCTTCCAATCCTTTCTTGTTCTACATCAAACCCTTATTAAAATAATTTGTATAATCTTATGGAACTCAAAGCCTTTTCTACTCAGCCGATGTCCTATCTAATTTCCATATTTTCAGTCATGAATAGAGGTGTATTGATTCGTTCATATTCAAGATGAAAAGTCACCATTTTTTGGGTCAAAAATCATTTTGTTTACTTTAAAATACTCATAGGAATGCTCTTCTAGGAAGTTTCCTAGCTTGTCCATGGGCAATGCATTTTAATCTTCTGGCACAAACCCAACCTTACTGATAACAATTACTGGTTTAAAAAACGCAGCGTTCTGGCAGAATATTAAATTGGACAATGATTCTCCATATTTTTTTATTTTGGATGAGTTCATGCATTAGAGCATAAATATATTCTTGCTCATAATCGAGGCTTTTGACCAAGGGCTTCTGTAACCTAATTCTAAGCTAGCCTTTCAGGAAAACTCGTACATGCATTTATACCCCTGGAGAACCTCCCCTGATGCCAACTGACCTGTCCCAATCAATCCTATTATCTGCATTTAATGAAGCAAGATTAGTTTATTTTGATGGAACATCAACTGAAACTGCACTATTTGTCGCACATGAGGTAATTTGTGTTTTGCTTTTGCTTTTCATCTCTTCAACAATTTAAAATTTGGGTATGAAATGTAGCCCAAGAGTTTCCTAGAAAAGTTATCTGCATTTACAGCTTTTTCGTTTTGATAAATTTCGCACCAAAGCCTAAGTGACTCCTATGCAGTGGCTTGCCCTGCTAGCCAGTCTATATTTAAATTTTGCAGTGATGGATGTAATTTTTATTCTTTTACAATGAAACTAAGACTTGAGCGGGGGAATCAATACCATAATTCTGGATCTGAACAGTAAACAGTTGTCATCAAATTTTTAAATACAGGCAGCCCGGAATAACATACCTATATTAGTTGGGGCGGAATCAGTGAGGGGAGGATTGGATGAGCTCCTGGGTCTTGCTGATTATGCTGTATGCTCTGCAAGGTTTCCACAGGTACTTCGATTGCTCTATCATTATGAGGTGCTTTTGGTTGACTCTTATCTCTGCATGGTGTTATATCTTGTATGCATCTGTTTTGACTTTGTTATATCTTATATTAATCTATTTTGACTTTGTTTTGACAATTTATGAATCCATAAACGTGTCAACATATTGGACTTGCTACAATTGTATGACTTTGCTTTTCATCAACAGTAACAAACTGATCAAAATTCGATAGTTGAATATGCATTGAGTTATGTTGCCCTTAAGAGTTCAGATGCCTTCTATATGTACTTCCAGTTCATCTTTTTCTAGAATAATATGATGAGGTTGAATTGTTAGGCGGTATTGCTGCTTTATTTCACATGTATGATACACATGCTTCCGCTTATGTTCAGTTCTTTAAAGTCTAGTGTACTTGGCTGCATTATTTGTGCTCCTTTTGTATCAGGCATGGACCCAAGCACCATCCATTCCAAGTGCACTGGTTTCTATGCTTTTAAGATTGCCAAATATCAAATTTGTGATTGTGACTCTGGGTGAAGATGGATGTATAATGCTGGAAAGAAGCATTACGGGTGAATTTACACTTGACCCTTTCAATTTAACATTCATAAAACTGTTGCTTTGCATTTGATATTTGTGTTCCAAGAAGATATGTAGGCTACTAAGCTCTGACTCTATATCCTTTATGGCAGAGGGCACTGACATAGAAGAAAGGGATGTGGACAATGTAATAGAATCCCTATATAAAGAGAGAGATGATGATCTGATTATCCCAACTTGTATATCATCGGTAAAATATCAGTATACACTTTAATTTCGAGAAATTCTAATTTAATATGATGTCTCCTTCCATAACATCCCCGTTGAGTTGGAGGATCATGTTCACTGCGCTTTTTCCCCTCTCTCAGACCGTGACAAAATTAAAAGCAGATGGAATAGGGACCGTGTGTGGACGTTTATTTGTTGGAACAGCAGAGAAGATACCGGCTTGTGAATTGACTGATACAACTGGTGCTGGGGATGCGTTTAGTGGAGCTGTACTTTATGGTATGTGTAATCTTATATATGATATATGCTCTCTTGATGATATTATTCGAATCGGCCAGATTTAGAACACAACATAGTGAAATTACTAGCAACTTTGCTCTATTTTCATTTGCTTTATTTCTTCCTGAAGTTGCCTGCGGATTCAGTTCTCCAGTGGGTTAGCTCTTTGTTTAGCCATGCAGCTGGTCCCCCCCCCCCCCCCAAAAAAAAAAAACAAAAGAAACACTCTCATAACTTGGATAACAATGCATCCCCAGATCAATGAGTTCATACAGTTTACCCACTGAAAGGAAAGTAGACATAGCTGTGAGTGGTCTAGCGATGAGACTTCAGGCAGATTGTAAGGATGAGTTTTCGCGTCATCATGGTACCTGAAAAAAGTTTGCGATAATGGATATCATTGACTTCCCGTATCACTTGCCAACATCCCAATATCCGGTCCACGTTTTTCACTTCATGGTTAACAAGTTTTATGTTGGTTTCGATTGTTATTTGAGGATTTGATATACTTATCTCTCACTCATTTTGTAGCTATCTGCGCAAACATGTTACCTGAGAAAATGTTGCCATTCGCCTCTCAAGTGGTAAGTTTCTTGTAATCCATTGAGAAATCGCTATCCATATTTTTCTGAGTGGCCAATCAAACTAGGAAGGAAAATAGGAAAATATGAATGGTGGAATTTTATTTGCAGTGCAATTTTACTAATTTCGCAGTGATGATGACTGCAGGCAGCTGCCAATTGTAGAGCTTTGGGTGCTCGATCCGGTCTTCCTCACCGCACGGATCCTCGTTTGGCATCATTTTTAGGCTAGAGATTTCTGGGCACTCTTCTTGTTCGTGTGCTGAAGGAATGGCTTTTGTATTTCTTCGAGGGATGTGTTATATTTAATAAAATTATGGTATCAATGAAGCACTTGTGTAGGTCAGTGTTGAATTATGATTTCAATAAAGCACTACTGGACATTAAGTTTTCCTCCGTGATGGATCTTATTTATTCCTTTTTTAATTATCTAACTACTGATCACATTAAGCATCAGATAAGACGTGGAATTTATCAAAACAAAAATAAAAAATACAATCACGTTTGTTTTCTAGAGAGTTGAAAACAACGTGTTCTGGCTGCTTTTCTTGTTGACGAATATCTTCAAGTTAATCAACCAGACTTTACTCCAGAAAAGAAGGCCCACAAGGAATGAAATTATACTAATTATACTACTATTTCTTTTTATCCGTAATTCACTGTTGTAGCAAAAAAGGTATTTCATCTCTCTCTCTGTTTTTTTTTTTAGTCAAAAAACTTTGCGAGGGGTCAAAAAAAAAGACCGAGCCCCCTCTTTGCCAACCTACAAGCGTAATAGGTTTTTGTTGCCAAAAAAGGTAACAGTTTGTATTCAGGGCCCAAAAAGGCTCCCGTGGATATAGAAGAAATCTTGCAAGACAGCCCACAGTATTTGGGCCACATTCAGAGGGATTGGATCCACCCAAAAAACCGGCAATAAAATTGACAAATCGTGCTCCCAAAAAAATCAACAAAAAAAATCGTAGATCGACCCGCCCACACTGTGAGTGTCTTCCAAGACTACGATCAGGCCATCAGGGGTTTAGGGTTCTTCGCTTCATCCGCTCACTGAATAACTTGAGCATTGAGCATTGAGTTTTGAAGACGCTGATTCCATTTAACATATCCAATTACAATGGGTAAACTTATTCTGTATTCCCTAATAACCTAACTTGTTTATTTTTCTTCTTGGAATGTACTTGTGCAAATTGTATTTGGTCGACGGAAGTTTGGGAATTCAGAGGTTTCTCTGTCCTGCTCTGTCAACAAATTTCTTCATGACCAAACATGATTTATTTCCCTTCAGGCGCGTCAAAATATTTTTCGGATTTGTGGCGGAGCAGACAGCTGTACGATGTGGAGTTGTTATCGAATCTTAGGCACTGGCGGTACGCAACAACGCGATCATTAGTACAGCACACTCGACCTTTGCAGCCTGCTGATATTCCTCGGTTGGGGCAGGTGAAGAAGGTAAAAATTGTAGACTTGCTGGCAACTCTTCTGTTATTGGTTCATTGCCTGGAAGTCACTGGTGAAGATGTCATTTCTTTTTTCGAATTTTCGTAGGCATTTGGTTTCAGTGTCTGCTTTATTTTCTGAAAGGCTTATCTATTCTTCAACAATTGCATCGCGTCTACATTTTGAAATACGCAAAGCATGCACTAAAGTTCCGTGTGTATTGAAATGTCGGAATTTTCTAATCCCGAAATTACTGCATTGTATGATGTTTGTCTGTACGTCTTGGCCCTGACTATTCATTGGAACCCTTGTCGAGATCATCTTTGTTCTCCAAAACCCATCGAGATTCACAATAGTGGTTAATTTTATCGGATGCTCCCGAAGGGACGATAACGGTTAATTTTATAACTAATGAATATATTGCATCCCCCCCCCCCCCAAAAAAAAAAAATCAGAATGTACTGCGTGTAATCACATCCTTCCATCCAGCTGAGGCGTTTGTGATCAACAGTTGCTTCTACAGTTTATTAAATATCTGACAATGACTTCTTATGTTATAGCTGATGAACTTTTTGTTATAATTTAGTTTGAGTTGGATAGTATTCACTTTGGCAAACAGATTTTTCTATAAGTTATAATTATAATTGTAGTATGATTTCGTCTAAAACATGCTGGAAAAGTTACGGTGGGAGCTTGGCATCTCGTACAGTAGTGTCATTAGTATTTTGATATTTTGTTGATTAAATGCATGAAATTTTAAGGAACAGAGTGATATATCGGAGAAAATGTTTCTTTGTGACGTTGAAGCTGTTTTTCTCTAATTTCATTTATTTGTTGTTGAAGGCTCAATTCCACACTATTTATTATGGTTCCCTATTTGTGTGCAGGATATACGAGGAGCGAATGGTTGGTCACCATTGTATATTTACATATGACTGAATCTTAATCCAGGAATTTAAAATGTCTTTCACTAGCTCTTGGAAGAATATGGTTTTTCTTTTTCTTTTGGGTGAGGGCTCTGGGTTTAAGAGCATGCATACCTTGCTGTTGATTGGAATCTGGGATTTATGCCCTTACCTCAAAAACCATTGATTGTGTATTTCACTGATGAATTTATGACTTAACAATGCTTGCTGATTTACACTAGTTAGGTTCATGATGCCTGATTTGGCCAGTGAGTCCCATATATTTTATCTTTTTTACCCTGGGATGTGAATATAAAAATTTGCAGGAATGGCTGTTCAATTCAGTGGATGGTTTGCTGGAACATGTACAGCCAGTTTTCAGCCTCCATATCTGCCTAGGGTGAACCATGAAATGGACTCTATCAGTTTTCCTTGTGTCAGATCCATTTCTTCGAGGGCATCAAACAAACAAGGAGAAAATACAAATGAGGTTAAGCTGCGAAAATTTTGTGCTGTTTTTATCGTTCCCTCATTTTCAGTGACTGTAATGGTACCCTTGTTTGTCACAATGGGTCAAGCACCTTGATACCTCCATTTCCCTCTTTGGCAGACTAAAAAAGACATATCAACTGTTGAAGATCCTTTTGATGCTCCTACATATAATATTCCAGAGAAGCCAGTAACGTTTGTGGAGGGGGCGTCCTACAGTGTCGTCATCCTTGTTGGTCTTGGAATTGCGGCTGCTGCTGGATATGCTGTTTTCAAGGAGCTTATATTTGAACCCAAAGAGTAAATAGCTTAATTTTATTTGAATTATGTTCTCTGAAGATTATTATGACTTTGTTGCTTGATGTTTTTTATCTTCATTTGATCCCCCTCTGATTTTTAAAAGTTGGTGTCAGGTACAAAATCTTTAACACGGCTCTAGAGAGAATTCAAAATGACAGTCAGGTGAATAGCCCTGATTTTCTTATTTATTTTCCTGAACTAAGAAGGAAACCCAAAAGGGGAACTTGTTTGTTGAGGAGGTTAAATCTTATAAGGACAGACCATTGTCCGAGTTTATTTGTATTCCGGCATCAAAAGAACCTGATCATGTTGGACCATAGTACATAAGGTCAACGCAAGGATAGTTTTAGAGGAGGAACAAATAGTTTCGGTGAGATACAGGTTAAATCGGTGATGAGAAGCTTTAACAAATCTTGATGGCTCTGAATTTCTGATGTTTAAGTATGGATTTTCTTATTAAGCTGTTGCTCCATCTTTTAGACAAAATAACAGATGCTTTGAGGGCATGCGCTGAAAAAAAGAAAAAATCATTAGTGCTGCTAGTCATACTAGAGAGTCGGTGAATGCAAAGTTGTCTAATATTTTGCTAGTATGTGTGCTAACGAATGGCAGTTATTTCTCCTAGTAAAACTCAACCTCTCTCTCAATGCATTATATCAGGTTAGAGTCAGAATTGGATCCCCAATTACTGGCTATGGTCAGGAGAGTAGAAATCGAGCTGCTCGGCAACGAATTCCCAACAAAGTTTGGACTGATGAAGGTGGGGTCGAGCATGTTGAGGTATTTATTAATTTAAAGTACTAACTATTTCTTTTTTGGACTATCTGGTACACCTCCCTTCCTCAAGCCCTACACCCTCCCAAAAAAAAAGGGAAAAAGACAAAGAATGGTCAGGAAATTTTCATTGGTGTCTTTGCTGAATTGTTTTCATCTATATTTGCAATTCTCAACCATGGCTCTTTGGGTTACAGGTTAATTTCTATATCCGGGGGCCCCATGGAAGTGGGAAAGTTTTCTGTGAGATGTTCAAAGACCAAGTGGACAAACGATGGAAGTTTACATACTTGATTGTCGAGATCAGATCACCCTCTCCAGCACAATTGATTCTGGAGTCATATATTCCTGCTTAAAATGCAACCCAGAAGCATTGTTGAGAAAAGGTTTCTTCCTTCTTACTGATAACCCAGATTCTTGTAAGTTTGTTGCCCTATTTATTGATCTTCAATATTGAGGTCAAATTTTGTGCCGCATAAATTTTAATGATAACTTGAATGCATGGTGTCATCCAATCTCCCCCATTCCATGATAAAAATGATAGAGCATGAAGAATATACAATAACAATTTTGGGAGTAGTGGAGTTTGACATCGGTGTTTAGATATATTGCAGCAAGAAAGTTCTTCAGTCCTTGGTGAGTAAATTTGCTTGTCTATGGGTTCCGCGTCTTCTGGTGCTTGCCGTTCTTTTCTTCCCACTTTTATTCCTTGCTACATAAGATTGGAATTTTTAATAGAATATAGTATTATGACATTAATTTATTAGATTGATAGAGCATTGATGACAAAGACTAAATGGCGAATATTTCATTTATAGGGGTCAAGCTTTCATTTAAAAAAGTCTGAGGAAAGGTTAAGAAGAGTGTGCGTGTGTGCGTGTATTTGGTAATCATATGAAGTAATATATTTTTTGGCAAAAAAAAAAAAGCATATTTTTTAATTGAATGTTATTCACTTCAGGCGTTCCGTGCAGGTGTTTGATCTCTGGCCCCATACTGGTGACTGCGTTTTGTGGCGGTCATCGATGTTTGTTGGCCATTTCAGTCGGCCCATGTTTCACGAGGGATAAAAATGAAAGAAGAGAAGGAAAAGGAATTAAAGAAGTAATAAATGACATGAGAATCTGAATCCACAAATCTCAGGATTGGTGGTTTTGTCTTTCGTTAAGGACTTCCAGGCTTTAATATTAGGAATTTTTTCCTGGCAAGGGACCCGCAAGCAATTATTAAGGATTAAATCTGCTAGGCTTCATCCCTGTAGTGACTGTGATTTCTGCGGTGTGTTGGTGCTTTCAATTTATTGTAATCTATGGTAAATTTGATCTGGTAAAAGAATGTGGCTTCCTCCATTTTGTGTCGGAAGCATTAATCCGATGTCAGAGTTGATTGCCATGGTTCTTTTCACGCACGATCAGGTTTAATGATTAAATTAATGTTTGAAAAGGAAGAAAATGTCATTTAGGACTGACCCAGACAGACATACCACCG